ACTGCCCCCTCCCCGGGCCCAGCAGGGCCCAGGCCAGCCCGCACCCCCCAGCCCCCGGTACGGCCCTGCCGCGCTGGAGGAAAGCAAAGGCAGAGGCCAGGAGACTGAGATCTGGGTTTATTGCAGGAAAGGCCGAGGAGAGCTGAGCCGGGCCTGGCCTTCACGTGGCTCCGCTGTTACAGGCATGGAGCAGGGCTCCTTCCAGCGCCTCTCGACTGGGTCTCCCCCAGCAGTAGCCCAGTTCCTCAGCTACCTCTCACCCACCCAGGGAGGGGTGATACGGGGATACCGCAGCCTCCTCCCCAGCTTGAGGAGCGCCCCCTGCCCACATGCCCCAGTCCTACCCCTCCCCAAAGGCCTCCCCATGTGACAGGGCTCCAGGTTCCCGTCCCTCCTTGCACAAGGCTCTCTGCTGGGAAGCCGCATTAACCACCCTCCATTGCAGAGCATCCCCAATACTGGTGACAGAAAGCACTAACAGGGGTGCTGGGGCAGCTACCCCCCCTCCCAGCAGTACCGGCACTAGTCAGGCTTTCCTCCTCTGCCTTCCCAGTGGCACCAACACAGCGCCGTGTCCAGGACCCTGCTGACAGGGCAGCCACTGCAAGCAGCATCTGGAACCCCCACAGCAAGGCAGCAGGGTTGGGGACAGGACTTCAGTCTCTCCTTTGCAAGAGATTAAGTTACTGGGTTGTAAGGAACAGGGGCGACAGAGCAGGAGGGACAGGGAATGTCTCACAGGGCGCTTGGCTTCTACCCCCATGGCAGAAGGAATCAGGGCAAACGCCTCTGGAGTCAGAGCATGGGGCACATGCAAGACCCCCACCCTGGCACAGATGACCCACCCTCTCCAGAGACCACCCCAGAAGGGCCTGAAGCACTGCAAGAAGGAAAAGCTCCCTTGTCGCAATCAGTCCTTCTCCCCAGGGCAGAGTCGAGCTGCCAGTCTTCGCGCAGACCCTGAGATCAGCCCGTTGCAGCAGCAAGAGACTTTCCCCCTTCACAGTCCTGCTGGCATCCCACCACTCAGATCTTCGAGGACTCCACCCGCTCGATCCACGGCGAGTCAGCCCCGACATCCCTGGGCTCCGACCGCAGCTGCCGCAGCTCCCGCTCCAGTGCCTGGCTCCGGTGGTACATCTCCATGTAGCTGGCCTGGAGCTCCCGCTGGTACCGCAGCACCTTCTCCTTCTCCTCCTGCCAGGTTTTTCTCTCCAGCTCAAAGTTCACAGCCTGCAGCTGGCCCTGGCGCCGCTCCCGCAGCAGCTCTGCCCACAGCCACTCCACCTGCCGCTCCAGGGGCTCTGCCGTGTCGCTGTGAAGGCCCCGGCACTTGGAGTCATCAGTTTCGCAGCCAGGGAAGTCCTGGCATGCTGGCATGGGGTCATCACCCAGTGGCAGCGAGGCGCCGGGCTCCGCGGGGCTCTGGAAGGAGTCTGCCAGTTGTGCCAGCTGGGAGTCCCTGGCCTGGACCTCGGCCTTGGCCTCCCGCAGCTGTGTCTTCAGGGTGAAGATCTCACCCAGCTTCTGAGCCATCTCCTCCTGGGTATCCCGGAGCTGCTGCTTCAGCAGGGAGATCTCTGCGGCCTTCTGGCACACCTGCAGGGCACGGGTGAGCCATGAGGAAGGGCTGGAGAAGCAGGACCCCAGGGGTGGCAGCAGCCCAGGTTGTCACTACCGTACCCCTGGGAAACCACGAGCATCAAACCTGGCTCATCCCCCCTGTCCTGTGCCCACAAGTGACACCAGAGCAGGGAACCGCTGCTCCTGCCCTGGCTCCACGGCCAGGAGGGTGGCAGCAGGGAGGGAAGGGGACTCACCTCCCACTTGGTCTCCTCCAGCTTGGGGCTGACACGCTCGCCCTGGGGCTGCCTGAGCTTGGACTCCTCGCACTGGCACTGCTGCAAGCTCAGCTCCTCCTGCAGCCGCTTCTTCTCCTGCTGCGCCTTGTAGAGCTGCAGCTGCAGTGCCCGCTGCCCGCGCTGCGCCTGCTGCGTCACCTGCTGCAGCCGGGCCATGTACATCTGCTTCAGATCCTCCAGCTCGTCCAGCCACAGCCGCTGCTTATCCTCAAACACCTGCCAGCACAGGCAGACACTGGTGAGGGTCCATAACCTGCCCCTGTGCAGGGCAACCCCAGAGAGGGACCCCGGAAGGTTCAGTGATGTTGGGTCCTTCTGCACTTGGACATTGCCAGCCCCATCGCCCACTAAAGCAGGACACTAGCTCTTCCACCGCTCCTTCCACCCAGGCACTGCTGCCCCGCACCCCTGCCCAGGGCACCCCCAGCCCCACAGCTCACCTGCGTGAAGGGATCTTCAGTCTCACTAAGGCTCCTCTTGAGCTGCCGCAGCTCTCCTCCCGTCTCCTGCAGCCGGTCCTCTAGCTGCTTCACCGCGTCCTCCAGCGAGTAAGTGAACTCGTAGGGGGGTGGGGGCTCGCCGGGGCTCTGCAGCCGGCTCAGTGTGGCCATGCTTTTGCAGGACAGGGGCACCTTCTCAGGGGCCAGGGGGTCCCTGGGGCTCCGGGAAACCCTGTCCAAGGAGCCCCCGATGTGGTTGATGTGGCCCATGGAGGCACTGAACTGGCTCTGGGCCGGCTTGAGGCGGGAGCCATAGGAAGGGAAGCTCTGGATGGAGTTGTGGCTGGAGTCAGAGGCCTCATCCAGGCTGATGGCGTGGAGCAGGTGGGTGCGGAGCGGACCGTGCTGCGAGGGCGCCGTGCTGCTCTGCGACAGCAGTGTGTGCAGGCTCCCGTTGCTCTTGGACAGCTTCTGCCCCTTGGATGAGGACAGGCTCTGCATGGAGACCAGCCCCTTCCCAGCTACTGCCTTGAAGGCCGAGGGCCTGATACGGCACTGCAAAACAAGAACGAGGTCAGGACAAGCCCAACAGCCTCCACAGGCACCTGGACCCAGGTAAAACCTGCCTGCTCCCTGCCCCACATCCCTGGACATCCTCAAATCCCCAGATCCCATCCAGGGCACAGACCTGTCTGCTCCAGCCCCATCCTCTCACAGAGTGGGACATATTTCAGAGCCCAGCATGGTTCCCACAGCCTCACCTTGTCGAAGCGGCCCCTTTCAGGCAGGGAGCTTTTGGAGAAGTCGGCTCCACGATGATGCTCACGGGAGCAGCGCTCAGGGGACCGGTTCTCGCGGTCGCTCTCATAGTCCCGCTTGTAGCAGGCGCCCGACGTCTGGTGCTTCCGCTCTGACCGCGTCTCCTTCTTGGCCCCGTGCAGGTAGCCGAAGAGCTCCCGCTGGCTCGGCCCCTTCCGCAGCAAGCCATCAGGTTGCCGAAGCCCCCGCGAGCCCCCCAGCTGGGCCCGCAGCTCCAGGGGGGACAGATCCTGCTTCTCCACCAGGCTGCCCACGCTGCCCATGCTGCCGACGACACCGACGGGCTCTGAGGAGAGGTAGGTGCCAAGGACACGGGTGTCGGGCTCACAGGTCACAGGACCCTGTGCTGCTGCCATGGAGAATTAGAGAAAAGCCCGGTACCAGCACTGCTGAAGGAGAGACAAAGTCAGCAACGCCGAGCAGCCGGGACTCCAAAGCCCCCTTGGCACCCCCTTTCCCAGCCCGCCCCAAGGACCGACATGGGCTCCTGGTGCTGAAAAGGACCCACCAAGTCCCAGGCGGCTCCCTGGGGGACCCGGAGCCGAGCGAGCAGGGCACCGCCACGCAGCATGCACCGGGCAAGCTGCGACGGAGCCGGGGCTCCCCCCTGCTGCCCCCCCCATGGC